AGCAATCCTCTCACCTCAGGCTCCCAACTAGCTGGGACTATGAGTACATGGCATTCAGCCCCGGTTGAGACCTTTCTCTTAAATGACATTCTAAACATAAACCACAGGACATGTGTAATGCTTACAATCAGCAATAAGAGCAGTGGGCATCAGCTAAGAAATCTGACGTCTACAATATGGATAGAATTTCAGTTACTATTACAATATAAATTTCTAAGGATTCATTAGCTGAATGAGTACTATGGAAAATCTTACAGTCATGATATCCATTACCTATTGGGTTCAACAGAAACTTAACTTTCTTCAAATAAAGTTACATTTAGGTTCAAAGGTCCTAAATGTGACATTCCATAAATGAACCTCATGTAGAACAAAGCACCAAAAATAAGATGGTTTGTGAATCACAGCAAATATACTGTCCTACACTGAGAATAAGGGAGTGGGTGGACAGCAACTAATGGACCATGTTGTCAGTCATATTCCAGAAACCTTTAACAGTAAATCCCTAGAATAATCCATGACCTAAGTTATATAAATGATTTGTTTCAAACTATTTTATCTAGGAGAAATTGTTTCTATCTCATGTTAATTTCAGAGTAATTCCTTTCTTTGGTTTTTCTAAACATAAAAGGATTTAATCACCTCATAAAAGGCACTTAAAAATCACACTAAACCAGCTACCTGTATGGTAGTATCCTGATTTATCCAGATCAAACTTACCATATAAGAGTATCAATCAAGAGAGCCACAGTAGCTCAGGCCAGTGGTCCTGGTGCTTGAGGAGGTAAGGCTATGCATTCGAGGCAAGACTGGGCAACATAAGAACCTGTCATCCATTTAAAATACACACACACACACACATACACACATAACGGTGGCCAACATTCTGTTTCTGGACTTGCTCCTACTCCTCTGAACTTGGTCTATTCTTGGGCCAGTACAGTAAAGCATTTGAGTTTTAAGCATTTTCAGCAAAATCATTTACTTTTTTTTAAAGCAACATAGATAGTAGGAAGACACAAACTTTGAAACAAAATATAAATTCTGTATTCACCAAGTCCCTGAGCCTCCATTCTCTCATTCATAAAGTGGACACATTTCATCATAGTGAGGGGTTTCCCTAAGCTAAACTGCAAACTATATACCCTCCTCACTTTTCCAGTCAATTTTAGGCATTGTTTCCATTGTTTTCTTTCCTCCTGTTCCTATTATATGATAATGCATGAGACGCATGCACACATACAACAACAGGTATTCGTCTTCCCTTTCCCTTCACCTTGACCTGCAGATGCTCCCTTATCTTCTCCCTCCTGAGCAGGTACAGGAACCTGACTTTCAGTTGCTGGTTCCCCTTCTTCAGGTTTTGGTGGTTTCACTTCTTCATCACTGAGCTGCTCGGGCCAGGGAGTGTGTGTGTGTGTGTGTGTGCAAATTTAAAAAAAGTTTTGTTATTAATACATGATTATATATATGCACATAGAATACATAGATATTTCTGATCATAACTAAGCCTAAAGACGTTTCACCAACTCTATTCTGTATGCTTAATGAGGTTACTCTACCACAGGAAAGTTACTCTGAATAAAGTAACCACAAGGACTCCAGAAGCTATTATACTCTGTGTTAGAATAGATGTGTACAATCTGTCATTAACAAGCAAAGCATGAGAAAGAAGTAATGTGCGAAACCTGAAGAACACAAGAGAAAAACAAAATCCTCCTGAATCAATGTTTCCTTCATGAGACACCATAATCATTTTTATCAGCATGAAGACCTTACCACTGTCTTTGTACTGATGCAAAAATACTATCACAAAAAATAACATCTGCTAATAGAAAACATCAGATTAACAATAAAGCGCTCACCAGCATAGGCCCACTCACCTCAGGTGGTTTGACATAGTGTCTTAGTCTAGGCCAATAGGTTAATCTTCCTCACCAACTCATATTTCATACAGAAACACTGAAAACAGAAAATGGTGACTGGGAACATGCACTTGAGAGGACAGCTATATTCGATCACTTCCATAGCTAAATGTTAACTTGTCGTTTTAATTTGGAAAACATACCCAAAATAAGTCCCAGAGCTAAGCATACATGTGTACCTTTTCTGAGTGCATGCAAAGCCACTTATGCAAGGCAAGTTGGCAGAGCAATCTTCTAAAGACATGTGGCGAAAGGTAGAGGACATTTTTTTCTAAATTTCTTTTGGACACAAGGTCTCATTCTGTTGCTCAGGCTGGAGTGCAGCCGCATGCTCACTGCAGCCTCGACCTCCCGCTCAAGGCCTCCTCCTGTCTTAGTGTCCTGAGTAACTGGGACTGAGTAACTGAGTAACTGGACTACAGGTACATGCCACTGGGCCTCGCTGACAGAGGACATTTCTCATGAGGTTCAGTTTCACAAGTTGACTTCACATGAATACACTAATCATAATTCCTGTGATCGCTGCTTTTGGCACACTCCCACTTACTAGAGCCATTCACCCCAACAAATCAAGTGTGTTTGGACCACAGAGCCTCGCCCAGTCCTTCCCATTGTTTCCTTACCCTGCATAGCATAGGCGAGACCTAGCAATGCTTCTCACCGGGATACTACTCACCCCATACCTCTGGGGGGTGCTAACCAGCCTGCAGCTTTCCCAGTTTCCAGGCCCCTTCTTTACTGCCCGCCTTGCCCACGATCAGGGGCCCCATTCAGGACTCAGGAAGGTGCCCTGTGTCGGGGGTTCCCAGCACCTCGGGACTTCCATCCCTCCAATAACACCCCCCAGAACTTGCCCTATCTTCACCTGAGCCCCTGACCGCCTCCCCTCCATGGCCCACCTTCCTCCCTGTCCCGGGCCCTTCAGAACCACAAAGCCTGTGAGATAAAGTAGAGCGACCTCAGGGCCCCATGCTTGGAAGTCAGGAGGCACTTCTTCAGAGGCCATGAGTCCCTTTTCCCTCAGAGGTCACAGACCAGGCACTGAAACCCGTGGACTCGCCCAAAGCCCAATGCCTCTTCCTCACCCTCACTCAAACTTCAGCCCCCGGGAGGACTGGCCTGTGGACCTACCAGATGAGTCTAAGTAGAGAAAAAAGAGTCCAGACGGCAGGAACGTGACCACACACCCTCACAGCTCCCTGGTATTCTTCACGTAGGCAAAGGGGCTGACCTGAAGATGACCAGTGAACATGCGCACTGAGGCAACAAGGAGCATGTGCAGCTATGGGTGGGATGGAAAGGGCTGCTGCTACCAGCGTCACACTCCAAACCCCCTATTCCCATCCCCACAGAGGATAATGGAATCCCACCTCCCGCTGCCGTTTCCTATGCCTCTGGGGCTCATATACCTTAAATAGTGCCCCCCTCAAAACTCGCTCCATCTTCAACTGAGCTCCCCTCCCCTCCAGGGCCCTCTCTTGCCCTGGCCCCACCATGAAGACAAGGACCATGGTGACTGCCTGGGAAGACAGGTAGACGACCTGCTAAAACAGAAATAGCAACCTACCCCAAAAAGAAATTGTTCAACATGAACAAGTCAGAGAGAGAGACAAAGAAGAACAAATACGACTTCAAGGACCTGTAAGAAAATACTAAAACATTATTTGTAGTATCAGAATTGCAGAAAGAGAAGTGACAGTATTAGGGAAACAGGAGCCTAGGACAGCTAAAGTGACACCATTTGAAAATGAACTCCATCTTGAAAATAGCAAGATGCATCCCTTATCAGTCACAACCCATGGCCCTAACATGTTTGTAGTTGAGAAAACAGACTAAAGTTACCTGGAAGGACATGCTCCCACAGCAGTGGAAAGTGCAGGGGTCCCAACACTCGTAGCAATATATGCTTTCAAAATAATTATGCTGTCATATACTTACACACTGGAGTGTCAAGGATAGTTTTCTTTTAATCAATTGAATGATACATTTCATCACGCTGTTAGCCCACATGCACAAAGGTTAGTCTAAGACCCCGATGTAAGAAAAACCTGGCCAGGTCAAGGCTCATGCCGGAAATCCTAGTATTTTAGGAGGCTGAGCTGGGCAGATCGCCTGAGCTCAAGAGTTCAAGACCAGCCTAAGCAACATAAAAAAGTCTCATCACTACAAAGAAAAATAGAAAAATTAACTGGGCTTGTTGGGATGTACCTATAGTCACAGCTACTCAGGAGGCTGAGGTGGGAGGATCACTTAAGTCTAGGAGGTCAAGGCTGCAGTGAGCTGTGATACCACCACTGCACTCCAGCCTGTGTGACAGAGTGAGACCCTGTCTCAATTTTTAAATATACAATATAAAAAAGTACAAATGTATCAATCGAATTCATTACATTAACAAATTAATGGGAAAAATGCTGTGGTAATCAATATAGATGCACTGTTTGATGAAACTCAACATATATTCAAAATGAATCAGCAAAGTAAAACAATGGAATGACTTACTCTGATAGAGTCCATCTACCAAAAAAGTACAGTAAATACTATGGTGAAACGCTGAAATGTTTCCATTTCTCATCAGGGTTAAGACAAAGATGTCCACTATCACCATGGTACCAGGTGGGTCTGCCCAATGCCATAAAATCAGAAAAGGAAATGAAAAGTGTTCAAAATGGCAGCAACGTGCCTGGTGCAGTGGCACATGCCTGTAATCCAAGCACTTTAGGAGGCTGAGTCGGGTGGATCACTTGCACTCAATAGTTCAAAAAGAGCCTGGGAAATATAACAAAACCAGGTCTCCACAAAAAGTACAAAAGGAAATAGAAAAAAAATGGCAGAAACAAAATTGTTCTTATTCAAAGATTATATCATTCTGTATGTTGAATACTGAAAACAATCTCAAAGTAAACTTTAAGAATTCATAAGCATATTTAACAAGGTTGCTGGATACAAAATCAATATTTAAGAATTATCTCTCTACATACCAGTTCAAACAGGATATAAAATGTCAAAGAATGATACATATTTCACAGCATCAAATACCTAGAAATAAAGTCACAAAAGATGCATAAGACTTCTTTGCAGAAGGCTATAAAGCTTTATTGAGAGAACTTAAATGAACAAATTTCCAACATAGGAACAGCCTGCATCATTTCAGTGTATCTTCTTTTAACACTGTGGTTGCCCTTCACCTGAAACAGAAACATAACAGTTGTGAATGTGACTTAATAACAGATTATTTAGATGACCCTAAAGGCATACAAAGGACACTACAGCTTGGGTTTTATAAAATGGACTAAAAACAGAACTCTAAGGGTGATTCTGCATCTTACATCCAATTACAACTCTGTATAGACTAAGCATAGACATGTGGAATTTAAAGGTTAATTTCTTCCTAAACATCAAGTGCTTCCTTTAAATTCAGAAGCACTTATAATTAACAGTCAGCAATCTGGAAAACACATATGTAAAACATACTTTGGTTGATTACTCAGGAAGTACTAACGTCATGGTCTTTGAAGATCAAATCTTATCAACTCATGTCTCAAAAGGTGAATCTTACATGTAATATATGATATGATTAGAGATGATTATATCCTACACGTATATACAGGTCTTATTAGAAATAGTGGCTCACGAAAACTGACAGTGCAGCAGGGAGCATGCTTCACACAGGCATCTTACTCACACCGATCCTGAGCATCAATGACCTACATCCCACAGAAAATAGAAACTAAATAGTCTCTTGCCATTTCATAATTCAGTTACTCAAGGTTTCTGTGGGGAAAGATTTAAAAATCAATTATTCATTAAGAGTCAGAGAATCCCAGCCTGGGCAACATAGTGACACCTCATCTCTACAAAATTTTTTCTCAAAAAAAGAAAACAAATTAGTCAGGTATGGTGGCTTATGCTTCTAGTTCCAGCCACTCAAGAGGCTGAGGTGGGAGTATTACTTGAGCCTGAAAGGCAGAGATTACAGTGAGCTGAAATTGCACCACTACACTCCAGCATGGGTTACAGAGTAATATTGTGTCTCAAAAACAAACAAACAAAAAATCAAGAGAATTCAGAATTAGAATCTAAGAGTAGGCATTCATTTCTCAACACAGACAAAGAAACATGAAGCCCACTAACTTTCTTAATAGCAATGAAATCTCAATTCACATGTTTTAAGATGAGTCAGATCAGGGTTTGATGATTTAGGATAAACAAGTCATGCACAGCAGATGATCTCTGTATCTTCTACCCAACAGGATCAGAGTATGAAAAAACCAGAATGGAAAATATCAAAATATCTTACTTAAACTCATTATTTTTAAGACCAAAGATAGCTTTAGAACTTAAAGGATTCACTCAGAGTCTCACTAATGTTCTAAGAGCTGGTATTAGAACCTATATCAGTGCTTCAGCATATTTCAAAGAAACTGATGTGTGTTACAAATGTGTTATGTATTTGCCAAAAGCAGACCTTTACAAAAGCATCTGAAAATTATAAGCTATTGATTTAAGGACTTATTCTCAAAAGCTGTACCTTAATAGGGCTTTGACTCAGTTTGTTTCTATATGACAGTCTATAAGTTGGTTGCTGGGTCCTGAACTACATTTCAAATAAACTTTATGAAAGAACTGTATTACTGGCCAGACATGGTGGCTTATTACAGGAGTAATACTTGGACTCTGAAAGCCCGAGGTGGATGGAATACCTGATGTCAGAAGTTCAACATCTGCCTGAAAAATATGCTGAAACCCCTGTCTCTACCTAAAATACAAAAATTAGCAAGGCATGGTGGCGTGTGCCTGCAGTCCCAGCTACTCCAGAGGCTGAGACAGAAGAATTGCTTGAGCCTGTGAGGCGTGACTGCAGTAACCTTCAAGATCAGGCAACTGTACTCCAAGCTGGGTGACAGAATGAGACTCTGTCACAAAAAGAAAGAGAGAGAAAGAGAGAGAGAGAGAGAGCGCGCACGCTATTATTAAAGAGACAGTATTGGGGGAAGATCCAAGAGGGCCAATTAGGAGCAGCTCAGGATTGCAGCTCCCAGTGAAAGCACAGAGGGTGAGTGGACACCACATTTCCAGACAAATTTTTATTCCCCACAGACCAGGAGATCCTAGGTAGAGGAGCCCCACTGGTCACCAGCACAGCTGTATTGCTGGTGCGGTTCTTTTGCTGGTGCCTCAGCATGGCGGTTCTCCGTACAAAATACACTGGTTTGGTTGCCCTTTTAAGCTGGCAATTGGAGCTCCGAGAAGGCAGAGTCACCCATTCATCACATTAAAAAGGGGACTCAAACAGGGAGCCAGGCCAGGAGATTCCCAGGCAAAAAAGTGCCACGAATCTCAGCGTCACTGTTTCAGGCGGTACAGTGGGTCGCCACACAGGAAATCACACAGATGCCGGCGCCTTTTCAACAGGTGACTGGAACACCTGGGAGAGTCGACTGTTCAAATAAAAAAAGGCTCTGAGGCCGGGAGCCAGGTGATCAGGCTCCACTGGTCCTACCCCCCCTCCCCCACAAAAAAAAACAGCAATTGGAAATGCTCTGGGTTGAGAGTTTCATAGCAAGCACAGCTGAACCCGGGACGGTCTAGCTCTGTGGGGGAGGGGTGTTCACCATTACCAAAATACTCCACCATTACAGAAGTAGTCCACCATTGCTGAGGCAGCCCACCACTGCTGAGGCAACCCACCATTACAGAGGTGGGCCACCATTGCCAAGGCAGTTCTAACAACACCCATATAAACAGGACTGCAGGGAAGTCCACATGGCAGCAGGGCGGAGCCCACATCAGCTCAGTAAAGCCTCTGCAGGCAGACAGTGACTAGGCTGCCTCCTTGCTGGGCAGGGCAGCCCTGAAAAAAAGGCTGCAGCACAACAGAAACTCATAAATAAAGCCCTAACTCCCTGGGACAGAACACCTGGGAAGAAAAAGGGGTTTCTGAGTTCTGCTGCAGCTGACGTAAACCCACCTGCCCAGCAGCTCTGAATGAACAACAGAGCTCACAGCTCAGCACTTGAGCTCCTATAAAGAACAGACTGTCTCCTCAAGCAGCTCCCTGACCCCCGTATATCCAAAGAGTCACCTCATAAAGGAGAGATCAGACTGACATTTGGTGGGTATCCTCCTGGGACAAAGAGAGCAGAAGAAGAAACTGGTAGCAACCCTTACTGTTCTGCAGCTGCTGCAGGTGATCCCCAGGCAAGCAGGGCCTAGAGTGGACCTCAGCAGTCCTGTGGCAGAGGGGCCAGACTGTTAGAAGGAAAACTAAGAAACAGAAATAACTTCATCATCAACAAACTGGACGTCCACTCAGAGACCCAATCTGAAAAGTCAGCAACTACAAAGATGACAAGTGGATAAATCCACAAAGATGGGAAGAAACCAGCGCAAAAAGGATGAAAACACCCAAAACCAGAACACCTCTCCTCCTGCAAGGGATCACAACTCCTCACCAGCAAGAGAACAAGGCTGGATGGAGAATGAGTGTGATGAAATGACAGAATCAGGCTTCAGAAGGTGGGTAATGAGAAACTTCTGTGAGCTAAAAGAACATGTTCTAACCCAATACAAAGAAACTAAGAACCTTGAAAAAAGATTTGACGAAATGCTAACGAGAATGGACACTTAGAGAGGAATATAAGTCAATTGATGGAGCTGAAAAACACAAAACGAGAACTTCGTGAAGCATGCACAAGTTTCAACAGTCAAATTGACCAAGCAGAAGAAAGGATATCAGAGGTCGAAGATCAACTCAATGAAATAAAACGAGAAACCAAGATTACAGAAAAAAGGGTAAAAAGGAATGAACAAAGTCTCCAAGAAATATGGGACTATGTGAAAAGACCTAATGAACGTTTGATAGGTGTACCTGAATGTGATGAAGAGAGTGAATCCAAGGTGGAAAATACTCTTCAGGATATTATTCAGAAAAACCCCCAACCTAGCAAGGCAGGCCAATATTAAAGTCCAGGAAATACAGAGAACACCACAAAGATATTCCTCAAGAAGGGCAACCCCAAGGCACATAATCATCAGATTCACCAGGGTTGAAATGAAGGAGAAAATGATAAGGGCAGCCAGAGAGAAAGGTCAGGTTACACACAAAGGGAAGCCCATCAGACTCACAGCAGATCTCTCAGCAGAAACCCTACAAGCCAGAAGAGAGTGGGGGCCAATATTCAACATCCTTAAAGAAAAGAACTTTCAACCCAGAATTTCTTATCCAGCCAAACTAAGCTTCATAAGTGAAGGAAAAATAAAATCCTTTGAGAACAAGCAAGTACTCAGAGATTTCGTCACCACCAGGCCTGCTTTACAAGAGCTCCTGAAAGAGGCACTACACATAGAAAGGAACAACCAGTACCAGCCACTCCAAAAACATACCAAATGGAAAAGAGCATAAACAAAATGAAGACTCTGCATCAACTAATGGGCAAAACAGCCAGCTAGCATCAAAATGGCAGGATCAAATTCACACGTAACAATATTAACCCTAAATGTAAATGGACTAAATGCCCCAATCAACACAGACTGGCAAATTGAGTAAAAAGCCAAAACCCATTGGTGTGCTGTATCCAGGAAACCCATCTCACATGCAGGGATACACAAAGTCTCAAAATAAAGGGATGAAGATTTACCAAGCAAATGGAGAGCAAAAAACAAGCAGGAGTTGCAATTCTCATCTCTGATAAAATAGACTTTAAAGCAACAAAGATCAAAAGAGACAAAGAAGGACATTACATAATAGTAAAATGATCTATGCAACAAGAAGAGTTAACGATCCTAAATATATACACACCCAATACAGGAGCACTCAGTTACATGAGGCAAGTTCTTAATGACTTACAAAGAGACGTAGACTCCCACACAATAATAGTGGGGGACTTTAACACCCCATTGTCAATATTAGACAGATCAACCAGACAGAAAATTAACAAGGATATCCAGGACTTGAACTCAGACCTGGAACAAGCAAACTTAATAGACATTTACAGAACTCTCTACCCCAAATCCACAGAATATACATTCTTCAAAGCACCACATCACACCTACTCGAAAATTGACCACATAATACGAAGTAAATCACTCCTCACCAAATGTAAAACAATGGAAATCATAACATACAGTCTCTCAGATCACAGTGCAATCAAGTTAGAACTCAGAATTCAGAAGCTAACTCCGAACCGCACAGCTTCATGGAAACTAAACAACTGGCTCTTGAATGTTGACTGGATAAACAATGAAATGAAGGCAGAAATAAAGAAGTTCTTCAAAACCAACGGGAACGATGACACAACATACCAGAATCTCTGCGACACATTTAAGCAGTCTCTAGAGGAAAATATATAGCAACAAGGGCCTACATGAGAAGCAAGGAGAGATTTAAAATTGACACCCTATCGTCAAAATTGAAAGAGCTAGAGGAGCAAGATCAAAAAAACTTAAAACCTAGCAGAAGACAAGAAATAACTAAGATCAGAGCAGAACTGAAGGAGACAGAGACACAAAAACCCTTCAAAAAATCAATAAATCCAGGAGCTGGTTTTTCAAAAAGATCAACAAAATAGACAGACCACTAGCCAGATTAATAAAAAAGAAAAGAGAGAGTAACCAAATAGATGCAATAAAAAACGATAAAGGGGATTTCACCACAGATTCCACAGAAATTGAAACCATCATCAGAGATTATTACAAACAACTCTATGCACATTAACTAGGAAACCTGGAAGAAATGAATAAATTCCTGGACACTTGCCTTCCCCCAAGCCTAAAGAAGTCAGAACCCTGAATAGACCAATAACGAAGTCTGAAGTTGAGGTAGCAATTAAGAGCCTACCACACAAAAAAAGCCCAGGTCCAGATGGGTTCACAGCCGAATTCTACCACACATACAAAGAGGAGCTGGTACCATTCCTTCTGAAACTATTACAAATAATCCAAAAAGAGGGAATCCTTCCCAAATCATTTTATGAGACCAACATCATCCTGATACCAAAACCCGGCAGAGATTCAACAAGAAAAGAAAACTTCAGGCCAATATCCATGATGAACAGAGATGCAAAAATCTTCAATAAAATACTGGCAAGCCAACTGCAACAGCACATCAAAAAGCTTATGCACCATGATCAAGTAGGATTCATACCGGGGGGATGCAAGGCTGATTCAACATATGTAAGTCTACAAACGTAATTCGCCACATAAACAAAACCAAAGACAAAAACCACATGATTATCTCAATTGATGCAGAGAAGGCTTTTGACAAAATTCAACAGCCCTTTATGCTAAAAACCCTCAATAAACTCGGTATTCATGGAACGTATCTCAAAATAATAAAAGCTATTTATGACAAACCAACAGCCAATATCATACTGAATGGGCAAAAACTGGAAGCATTCCCTTTGAAATCTGGCACTAGACAAGGATGCCCTCTCTCACCACTCCTATTCAATATAGTACTGGAAGTTCTAGCCAGAGCAATCAGGCAAGAAAAAGAAATAAAGGGCATTCAAATAGGAAAGGAGGAAGGCAAATTGTCTCTATTTGCAGATAACATGATTGTATATCTAGAGGACCCCATTGTTTCAGCCCAAAATCTCCTGAAACTGATAAGAAACTTCAGCAAAGTCTCAGGATACACAATCAATGTGCAAAAACCACAAGCATTCCTATACACCAGTAACAGACTTAAAGAGAGCCAAATCAAGAATGAACTGCCATTCACAATTGCTACAAAGAGAATAAAATACCTAGGAATACAACTAACAAGGAACATGAAGGACCTCTTCAAGGAGAGCTACAAACCACTGCTCAACGAAATAAGAGAGAACACAAACAGATGGAGAAACATTCCATGTTCATGGTTAGGAAGAATCAATATTGTGAAAATGGCCATACTGCCCAAAATAATTTACATATTCAATGCTATCCCCATCAAGCCACCAATGACCTTCTTCACAGAACTGGAAAAATCACCTTAAACTTCATATGTAACCAAAAGAGAGCCCACATAGCCAAGTCAATTCTAAGCGAAAAAAAAAAGCAGGAGGCATCACACTACCAGACTTCAAACTATACTACAAGGCTACAGTAATCAAAACAGCATGGTACTGGTACCAAAACAGAGATAGAGACCAATGGAACAGAACAGAGGCCTCGGAGGCAACACAACATATCCACAACCATCCGATCTTTGACAAACCTGACAAAAACAAGCAATGGGGAAAGGATTCCCTGTTTAATAAATGGTGTTGGGAAAACTGGCTAGCCATGTGCAGAAAGCAGAAATTGGACCCCTTCCTGACACCTTACACTAAAATTAACTCCAGATGGATTAAAGACTTAAACATAAGACCTAACACCACAGAAACCCTAGAAGAAAATCTAGGGAAAAATTCAGGACATAGGCATAGGCAAGGACTTCATGACCAAAACACCAAAAGCATTGGCAACAAAAACCAAAATAGACATATAGGACCTAATCAAATTCCACAGCATCTGCACTGCAAAAGAAACAGTCATTAGAGTGAATCAGCAACCAACAGAATGGGAAAAAAATTTTGCGGTTAACCCATCTAAGAAAGGGCTGATATCCAGAATTTACAAATAACTCAAACAGATTTACAAGAAAACAACAAACAAGCCCATTCAAAAGTGGGCAAAGGATATGAACAGCCACTTTACAAAAGAAGCCATACATGAGGCCGAGAAACATATGAAAAAATGCTCATCATCACTGGTCATTAGAGAAATGCAAATCAAAACTACATTAAGATATCATCCCATGCCAGTTAGAATGGCAATCATTAAAAATCTGGAGACAACAGATGCTGAAGAGGATGTGGAGAAATAGGAACATTTTTACACTGTTGGTGCAAGTGTAAATTAGTTCAACCATTGTGGAAGACAGTGTGGCGATTCCTCAAGGACCTAGAAATAGAAATTCCATTTGACCCAGAGATCCCATTACTGGGTATATATCCAAAGGATTATGAATCGTTCTACTATAAGGACACATGCACACGAATGTTCATTGCAGCACTGTTTACAGTAGCAAAGACCTGGAACCAACCCAAATGCCCATCGATGATAGACTGGACAGGGAAAATGTGGCACATATACACCATGGAATATTATGCAGCCATCAAAAACGATGAGTTTGTGTCCTTTGTAGGGACATGGATGAACCTGGAGAACATCATTCTCAGCAAACTGACACAAGAACAGAAAATCAAACACCGCATGTTCTCACTCATAGGTGGGTGTTGAACAATGAGAACACATGGACACAGGGAGGGGGGAGCACTACACACTGGGATCTGTTCAGCAGTAATAGGGGAGGGACAGCGGGTGGTGGGGAGTTGGGTAGAGATATCATGGGGAGAAATGCCAGATATAGGTGAAGGGGAGGAAGGTAGCAAATCACACTGCCACGTGTGTACCTATGCAACAATCTTGCATGTTCTTCACATGTACCCCAAAACCTAAAATGCAATTAAAAAAAAATCTGAGGTCCACAACACAGAAACAATTTCAATTACAATTGACTGTAAACGTCTAAAGGAAATTGATTTGAGGACTATGGAAAATCTCACAGTCAGGACACCCATTCCCTACTGGGGTAAACAGAAACTCAACTTTGTTCTAATGAAGTTATATGCAGGTCCAAAGGTCCTAAATGTAACATTTCATAAATGAACCCCACATTAAAAAAAAACATTATTTGTCAATCACAGAAAACATATTGTCCAAAACTGAGAATAAGGGAGCAATTAGCAGGCATTGTCAGTCATATTCTAGAAATCTTTAACAGTGAATTACTAGAGTAATCCATGACCTGAGTTACATAAATGTTTTGCTTCAAAATATTTTATCTAGCAGAAATTATTTCTATCTTATGTTAATCTCAGGATAATTATTTCTTAGTTTTTCTAACCATAAATGGATTTAATCACCTCTTAAAAGCCACTTATAAAATCATAGTAAACCAACTTCCTGTATGGTAATATCCTGCTTTATCCAGTTTTTACCAAACATACCATATAAAAATATAAATCAAAGGAAAGAGTGGCCAACATTCAGCAATATGGTTTTTGGAGTTGCTCCTGCTCCTATGAATTTGGTCTATTTTGGAGCCAGTACTAAGCTACCTTACAGTAAAACATTTCAGTTCTAAGCATTTTAAGCAAAATCATTTACTACTTTTATGGCAACATAGACGGTAGGAAGACACAGACTTCAGAAAATATATACAAATTCTGTATTCATCAGTCAAGTGTTCTTGGATAAAACAAATTCCCCAAGCATTTATTCTGTCATTTATAAAGTGGAGAAATTTTATCATAGTGAGGGATTTCCCTAATCTAAGCTGCAAACTATACCCTCCTCACTTTTCCAGTCAATTTCCAGGCATTGTTTACATTGTTCTCTTCCATCCTGTTCCTGGTATGTAACAATGCAACACACACACACACACACACACACACACACGCCCCAACAGGCATTCTTCTTTCCTTTCCCTTCACCTTGAGCTGTCAATGTTCCTTCATCCTTTCTCTTTTGAGCAGGTGCAGGATCCAGACTTTGAGATGGTGGTTCCACTTCCTTAGGTGGTTCATGATTGCACTGCTCGCGCTACAAAATATGTGCATGTGTGTAAATTTAATAAAAAGTTTCATTATCAATACATGTCAATAAAATACATACATATGTGTGTATAAATATATATATATATACACACACACACACAGAGAGAGAATAGGTAAATGCTTCTTCTGATCATAACTAATCCTAAAGACATTTCTCCCACTCTATTCTATATGCTTAATAAGTTTACTCTACCCACAGAAAGGTAACTCTGAGAAAAGTTACCCGCAAGAACTTTGGAAGCTATTATACTCTATGGTAGAATAGATGTATACAATTTGAAATTAACAAGCATGAGAAGGAAGTCCTGGGCAAAAGCTGGAGAACACAAGAGAAAAAAAATCCTCCTGTATCAATGTTTTCTTCATGGGATGCCATAATCATTTTATATCAGCATCAAAGACCTTTATCAGTATATCTATAAAGGTCTATACTAAGTATATCTATACTAGCATAGTTAGTATATCTATACTAAGGCAACAACACTATCACAAAAATTAATTTCTGCTAATAGAAAACATCAAATGTTAAAGTACTTACCAGCATAGGCCCAGTCACCTCAGAAAGTTGTATATATCATAGTACTCTAGGCCGATAGGTTGGTCTTTCTCGCCAACTCATATTTCACACTAAAAACAGAAAACCATGACTGGCAACATGCACTTGAGAGGATAGCTGTATTCGATCACTTCCATGGCCAAATGCTGTCATTTTACTTTTGAAAATACTTTCAAAATAAGGCCAAGACTTAAGCATAAGTGTGTACATTTCCTGAGTGCTTGCAAAGCCATATATGGTGGCCAAGGTGGCAGAGCAATCATCTTAAGGCGTGTGGCAAAAGGCAGAGGACATTATTTTAAAATGTATTTTGGATGTGGGTTCTCGCTCTGGTGCTCAGGCTGCAGTGCAGCGGCATAATCACAGCTCACTGCAACCTTAACCTTCCACTCAACTGATCCTCCCACCTCAGCGTCCCGAGGATCTGGGACCACTGGGCCCCGCTGACAGAGGGCATTTCTGATGAGGTTTAGTTTCACAAGGGGTCCCCACATGAAAACACTAGTGAATCACAATTTCTGTGACTGCTGCTTTTGGCACACCCCCACTTACAGAGCCATTCACCCCCCTCAAATCAAGTTTGCTTGGACCACACAGTCTCGCCCAGTCCTTCCCATTGTTTCTGGACCATCCATGGCAGAGGTGAGAACTTGCAATGCTTCTCACTCTGGCCCTCCTCACTCCACATGGCTAAGGGGCGCTCACCAGCATTCTCAGGTTCCAGGTCACTTCTTTGCCACCTGCCTTGCCCCCAACAGGGGCCCCCATTCTGGACTCAGGAATCTGCCCTGTGTCAAGGGTTCCAGGCACCTCAGGATATCCATCCTTCCAACATCACCACCAGCACTAGCCCCATCTTCACCCGGGCCCCTGTCCGCCTCCCTTCCATGGCCCACCTTCCTCTCTGTCCTGGCCCCTTTATGACCACAAATCCGATAGGGGCATTGCAGCCTGTGAAGAGAAGGAGGACGACCTTGTGGCCCCGCTCTTTCAGAGGTCAGGGGGCCCTTCTCCCTCCGAGGCCACGGGGCCCTTCTCCTTCAGAAACCATGAGGCCCTTCTCCCTCAGAGACCACAGGCCACGTAGCAGACCCACGGACTGCCGGAAGCCCGCTGCCTCCTCCTCAGCCTCACTCACACTTCAACTCCGGGAAGGACTGGCCTGTGGGCCTACCAGATAAGTCTCAGTAGAAGAAAAAGAGTCTGGAATGCAGGAACGTGGCCGCACACCTTCACAGCTCACTGCCGTTCTCCACGTGGACTAAACTGCTGACCGGAAGACGCCCAGTGAACATGCGCACTGAGGCGGGAGTCCAAAGAGCTTGTGTGCCTGGCAGGGGAGGGGAGGGCTGCAGTTCCCAGCCCTACACCCCAAACCCCCAATTCCCATCCCCACTTAGGATAATGGAATCTGACCGACCTCCCTCTGCTGTTTCCTATGTCTCTGGGACTCAAATACCTCAAATAGTGCTTCCCTCAAAACTGACTCCATCTTGAACTGAATCCCCCTTCCCTCCAGGGCCCTCTCTGACCCTGGACCCACCATGCAGACAAGGACCATGGTAACTGCCTGGGAAGACAGGTAGACCACCTGCTTAAACGGAAATAGCAAAAATTCTTCAATATGAACAAGTCAGAAAAAGAGACTGAAAGAAAAACGAATACAGCCTCAAGGACCTGTAAGAAAATACTAAAATATCTATCATTTGTAGCACCAGAATTGCAGAAGGACGAGTGACAGTATTAGGGAGACAGAAGCCTAGGATAGCCAGAGTGACACCATTTGAAAATCAACCCCATCTTGAAACTAGCAAGACACATTCCTTACCAGTCACAACCCATAGTCCTAAGATGTTCATAGTGGAGAAAACAAACTAAAGGTACCTTACAAGGACATGCTCCCATAGCAGCGGAAAGTGCAGGGGTCCCAACACCCATAACAATATATGCTTTCAAAATAATTATGCTTTCACGTGCTTACAAACAGGAAGGTCAAAGATACTTGTTTTCTTTAAATCAATATAATGATAAATTTCATCATGCTATTAGCCCACCCACACCAAAGTACAGATAAGTTTAGTCTTTATATAGGTAAGACCCCTATGTAAGAAAAAATGGCCAGGCCAAGGCTAACACCTGTAATCCTAGTATTTTGGGAGGCTGAGCTGGGCAGATTGCCTGAACTCAGGAGTTCGAGAACAGTCTAAGCAACATGAAAAAATCTCATCACTACAAAAAAAAAGAAAGAAAAACTTAAATAGATGTACTGTTTGATGAAACTCAACATATATTAAAAATGGACACTTTCAGCAAATTAGAACAGAGTGGAATGGCTTACTCCGATAGTCAATGTATTTAAAAATACAGTAAATATACTGGTGAAATGTTGACATTTTTTCCATTTCTCATCAGTGATAAGTCAAAAATGTCCACTAGCACCATCATACCAGATGGGTCTGCCCAATGCCATAAAATCACAAAGGAAATAAAACTCTTCAAAATGAGTGGCTGAGGTGGGAGGATTTCTTGAGCCTGGGAAGCAGAGGTTGCAGTAAGCTGAAATCACACCACTGCACTCCAGCCCAGGTGACAGAGTGAGACTCTGTCTCAAACAAACAAACAAAAGAAGCCAGAGAATTCAGAATTTAATGGGATCTAATAATAGGCATTCAGATCTCCACACCGCTGGGGAGTGCTCAACAGCCCACAGCCTTCCCAAACAACAGACCCATTCTTTACCACCCACCAAGCCTCCCTCTATGCCCCCACTCCCGGGGCCCCATTCAAGACTCAGGGATCTGCCCTGTGTTAAGGGTTCCCAGCACCTCGGGACTTCCATCCCTCCAACATCACCCCCAGCACTTGCCCCATCTTCACTTGCACCTCCATTGCCCACCTTCCTCCCTTTCCTGGCCCCTTCAAAAACACAAAGCCAATTGTGGCCTTGCAGCCTGTGAAGAGAAAGAAGATGATCTCATGGCCCTGCTCTTTCGAGGTCAGGAGGCCCTTCTCCCTTAGAGACCACAGACCGACCACGCAGCAGGACGCGCCAGAACTGCCTGATGCTCACTGCCTCCTCCTCACTCTCACGTACTGTGGGGATCACCCCTGCGAGAGGCTAACAACTTGGCCTCCGCCATTAGGTGAGCTTGATTCCTTACACACTTTCCCTGGCTGGAGGCTGTCGAGCTATGGGGAGGAAAAATTGGGAGAAGAATGACTAAACAGCACACTATTTTCAGCCTTCTTGGTTGATGAGATAACGGCTGGGTGAACGCTGAAGTGATTCAACTGGGTATTGTGTTCCCCTTTCTGGTTCCTAATCTAAACCTGTTCTATGACTTTGTTTACCAGGCATTGTTTCAGCCTGGTGACCTCCCCTGTGGCCCTTGTCTTTTGCAGATGTATGATTTACTGCTGAGCTTGTGACTTCTAGATAATTGAAGATTGTTATCCAAGTTACTGGTTGTTCTGATAATATTGATAATCAGCATCACCTACTTCCCCCTTGACCTTTTAAATCAGTATCAGTTCCTTTTACTAGTTCCCCAGAATTGTTTTCTCTTTCTTTTGTTATTTAAGAAATGCTTTGATCTGACATGAACAACATTAAGTAGAAAAGTATATAATGGAACCTACTGCACAAAAAAAATTGCTGTTTGGGCATAGCCTAATCAGTCCTCCAGACCCCTCTCTCTGTCTCCTTTTTTTTCCACACATGCCCTCTTCCAGGTTTGGGACCCTCTCGCTGGATGAGATTCCCAGGCTCACGTTCAGTTCACAACACTCACTCACACTTCAGCCCTCAGGAGGACTGCCACGTGGGCCTACCAGATAGTCTCAGTAGAAGAAAAAGTGTCCAGACGACAGGGACAGGACTGCACACCCTCCCAGCTCCCTGGAGTTCTCCAAGTGGGCAAACATACTGACCAGAAGACAACCAGGGAACATGCACACTGAGGCAGGAGCCCAAGGAGCATGTGCAGCTGCAGGGAGGGGAGTGCTGCCTTTTGTAGCCCCATACCCCAGACCCCTGATTCCCATCCCCACTGAGGATAATGTAATCCGACCTCCCTCTGCTGTTTCCTATGCCTCGGGGACTCAAATACCTCAAGTAGTGCTCCCCTCAAAACTCCATCTTCAACTGAACACCCCTCCCCTACAGGACCCTCTCTTGTCCTGGCCCCACCATGGGGACAAGGACCATGGTGACTGACTAGAAAGACAGGTAGACCACCTGCTAAAACAGAAATAACGATCTACCCCCAAAAGAAATTGTTCAACATGAACAAGTCAGAGAAAGAGACTGAAAGAAGAATGAATACAACCTCAAGGGCCTGTAGGAAAATACTAAAACGTCTATCATTTATAGCATCAGAATCACAGAAGAAGTAACAGTACCAGGAAAACAAGAGCCTAGGACAGCCAGAGTGACACCATTTGAAAATCAACTCCATCTTGAAACTAACAAGACACATTCCTTACCAATCACAACCCATGGCCCTAACATGTTTGTAGTTGAGAAAACAGACTAAAGGTACTTATAAGGACATGCTCCCACAGCACTGAAAAGTGCAGGGGTCCTAACACCCATAGCAATATATGCTTTAAAAATCATTATGCTTTCACGTACTTACACACTGGAAAGTCAAGGATAGTTTTCTTTAAATTAATAGAATGATAAATTTCATCATGCTGTTAGCCCACCCTCAAAAAGGTACAGATAAGGTTAGTCTTTACATGGATAAGACCCCAATATAAGAAAAACCTGGTCAGGCCAAGGCTCACGCCTGAAATCCTAGTATTTTGGAAGGCTGAGCTGGGCAGATCACCAGAGTTCAGGAGTTCAAGACCAGCGTAAGCAACATGCCAAAATCTCATCACTACAAAAAGAAAAAAAATAGAAAAATTAGCTGGGCATGGTGGCAGGTACCTGTAGTCACAGCTACTCAGGAGGCTGAGGTGTGATTATTGCTTGGGCACAGAAGGTCAAGGCTGCAGTGAGCTTGGATAACACCACTGCACTCCAGCCTGTGTGACAGAGTGAGACCCTGTCTCAATTTTTAAACATACAATATAAAAAACTACAAATTTGTCAACCTAATTCATTACATTAACAGATTAATAGGAAAAAATTCCTTGGTAATCAAAATAGATGCACTGTTTGACGAAATTCAACATATATTCAAAATGAATACTCTTAGCAAATTAGAACAGAATGGAATGACTTACTCTGATAAAGTCCAAAACTACTACAGTAAATATGATGGTGAAATGCTTAAATATTTTCATTTCTCAGCATGGATAAGACAAGGGTGTCCACTATCACCATTGTAACCAGGTGGGTCTGCCCAATGCCATAAATTCAGAAAAGGATATAAAACTCTTCAAAATGGCAGCAACAGGCCTAGTGCGGTGGCCCATGCCTGTAATCCCATCACTGTGGGAAACTGAGAGGGGTGCATCACTTGCACTAAAGAGTTCAAGAACAGCCCTAGAAACATATCAAAACCCCATCTCTACAAAAAATACAAAAGGAAATAGAAAAAAAATGGCAGAAACAAAACTGCTCTTATTCAAAGATGATATGACTCTGAAGACTGTAAAGGATCTAGAAGTAAACTTTTAGAATTCATACGCATATTTAACAGGTTGCTGGATAGAAAACTCCATATATAAGTATTAAGTCTCTACATACCACCTCAAACAGAATATAACATTTCAAAGAATGATATATATTTCACAGCATCAAATACCTAGAAATAAAGTTTACAAAAGATGTGCAAGACTTCTTTGCAGAAGGCTGTAAAGCTTTATTGAGAGAATTTTAATGAACAACTTTCCAACATGAAAGCAGCATCATTTCAGCGTGTCTTCTTTTAACGCTGTGATTGCTTTCCACCTGTAACAGAAACACAACAGTTGGGAACATGACTTAGCAACAGATTATTTACAAGACCCTAAAGGCATACAAAGCACACTACACTTTGGGTTTTCTAAAATGGACTAAAAACAGAACCCCAAGACTGATTCTGTGTCTTACATCCAATTAAACCTCTGTATAAACTTTGAGGGTAGACCTGCAGAATTTAAGAGTTATTTCATCCCTAAACATTAAGTGCTTCCTTTAAATTCAAAAGCACTTATAATTAACAGTCAGTAATTTGGAAAACACATGTGAAAAACATACTTCAGATGATTACTCAGAAAGTATTAAAGTCATGGTCTTTGAACTTCAAATCTTATCAACTCATGTCTCAAAAGCTG